TATATAAATATGTGCTTTCAGCACATACTTTGTAATCGGTGCTGCCTTTCTTGTAAAAAAAGAAGGTACTATTAAAATAAGATGATATTCAAGTGTATGCATGTACTGATTGTTTATCCAATAATTATAATTTTTGCAAGCATTATCATTTTCATTAATTCAGAAAAATTAGATACTCAAAATTAGTTTAGTAACAAAAGAAAGAAAATACGTAACTGTGGGGTAAGCACCTACGTATTGTATATCCACGTGCAATTATTAATTTGTTATTAGCGAGCCCTGCAGGAATATAAGACCGATATGTAAATATTTTTGTCGGCGCCTATACCGGGGACAACTACGCCACCCTCTTCCCTCACACTCGGGGGATGGTATGGTGCTAGTAGTCGTCCATACGCGAGCTACAGCGCTGCTAGCTGAATGTGTCTATACTTCGGTCGGGGCGTCGAGTCCTGTTGACAAACAGCACTGACTTGCACTTATATTTTACCCATTTACAAAAATCGAATTAATAATATTTTCTATAATAAATTATAAATTTATATGTATTATCTTTATGATAGAAGGAGCAAAAAGTATTAATGCCCAAAAGTTCTTTTTGTTGCCGTGGTAGATATTTATATAGTTGCTAAAAATTAGGAAGGCGTTCCCCTTAGTGGTTGTTTATTTCGGAAAAAATTTGATTGCTATGGGGATTTAATACATTATTACTGGTAAACACAAGCCATTGAAAAGATTCATAAAGTTCATGAAATAATACATAAGAAGCAATTTTTATTTATGTATGAACATTTGTTGTAAAGGACGTGTTTACTGTGAAACTACAGACCACTTTTTACAAATATGTACCTGTTTGAACTATAGAGATTATGTTGAATAATAAATAAAGTTAATTAAGAACCAAATAGATGTAATGTTTAAATGGCGACTAACTGCCACAAGTTGATTTTCCACTTAAGCTAGTTTCCCTTTTCAGTAGCAAATTTACATGTAGCTTGTAGCTCTAACAAAAAAGTTCTTCATACATCATTTATTCGTAGGTGCTTCTTGAGTTCTTTTTTTTTATTTTTGTGGTAAATGACTTGATAATGTGATCTGGTGTTACGTATAGTATGATACTCGCCGGGGCGTGCAAATTATAAACATTTTAAAACGTAAAATGTGACGGTAAATTTTCCATAAAAAAACGTTAACTTTTAGTTACACAATGATAAAAATAAATTTTGTTGAAATACATTATTTTTCGTTATTTCATAGAAACGNTTTACTACAATTCTCATTTTTGCTGTACTTATACTCTTAGTAATTTTAAATGTTATGTTGTATTATAAGCTGTGGTCACTGGAGGAGGCGCCTCCTTATACACTTTTAGATCTTCACATTTTGAAGTAGGTCATATTTACTTTTACATATTTAAAATTGCTAAAACAGTATACACAATTTCAAAACTATTAATTGTTTTAATAGGGAACCCCCCAATTCCCATGAAGAGTGGATTAAACTGTTACAAAAACAAGAAACTCTTCATACAATCGAAATGCAGAAATGGCAAAGAGTTCTAAAGACGTCAATTCAACTTCTTAAACAAGTAAGTTAAAGTTGTATTATTAATAATAACAAATAACGCTTAATATTATTAACAATAAACAACGCTGAGTATTTGTTCCGACTGTAATATAAAAGTGAAGCTAAACGTGAAATTATGGTTAATATCTTTTTTTATTGTTAGATTGAAGATTCCCTTAGCGAATTACAACATTCCATTCACCCAACTTACACAAATAAAATAATGTCCGTAATACAAAACCACAAGGACACGTTGGACAAAGTGCAGGAAGAACTGTAGGTCAATTTATATTAAGGCTAATTTTAAACTATTTATTGTTGGTATTAGAGCTGTGTTAATGTTTTAATTTACAAATTTTATCTCCTGTTCCTTCTGTTTTATTGTATAGCACGAATACTGTAGTTAGGTTACAGAGAAAACAAAATGGCTGTTTGTAAGATATCGAAAGTTCAATAAAACGAATTTAGAGACACAATTTTGTGTGTTAATATCCTTTCTTAATAACAGAAATAAAATCGTTGGTAATATTATTGTGAAACATTTTTAATAAAATTTATACTTTTAAGAAAATTGCTGTTGCATGTTTCAAACATGTTATTATGAACAACTACATATTTTTCGGTTTCTTAAATCGTTATCAAGAGTACTTAATGTAATAATAGTAATAACTTCAATGGTTTAACTAGTTCTTTTATATCTAACAACTGGTATTATTCGACACTGTGTGTTTAAAAGTTATGTGTAAACCCTTCATATTACTCTATTACAGAAAGTCAAACTCTGTTTTTAGTCATTCGTTTTGTTATTTAATTTCTAAATACTGTAATACTAATTTCTCTCCTTTATCTGAATGTATCAGTTTTATACTATCAAAATCTAATTTATGTTTAAACACTATACAATGAGTACTTAAGCCTTACAGTTTTTTTTTTTTATTTTAAATAAAAGTAAAGTTTTCAAAATAAATCATAAAGATTGCGATGCATAAAAATGTAAAAAATCTACAAGTTTAAGTACTAACTGTATAGACTTTAAATACTAATTTGGATAACAAAGGAGAGACTAACCCTATTGGAGCAATTAGAAATTAAGAAAGCATTTTCTAAACAATAAAATACATAAATGAACAAATAGACTTCAAAGACTTAATTATAATAGAGCAATCTTTAAATCTTACTTATAACGTACAAACACATGCATGCGCAAATTAACACGCGTGGTTGGATAAAGTTTAAGACATGGAAATATGAAAATAGCATAAAAATTTAAGAAGCCAGAACGTATGTAGTTATTTTCAATAATGTTCCTGAAAGATTCAAAAGCAATTTTGTTTAAAAGTATAAATTTTGTTAATATGCTCTTTAAACCCAACTGGATAAACATATGCCCACTGAATTTATGTACTTTTTCTGGAAAGTGATAGAGAATTACACCTTAGAAATAGTTTTTAACTATTTAATTCGCATTATACATATGTTAGAATTTTGCAATGTTTTATTATAACAATTGTTACTGCTTACTGACTCACGGCAAAATTATAAAAATTTAATGTACACGAATTTTACTTCAATTCTGATTCATCAAACAACAAAATACTTTACTCTTTTAGTATGAAAGCATACGAACAATGAAGTTAAAATTCAGCGAAAAAATGTTATTTGCAATTCAAAAAAATATCTCTTTAAAGACTGAACTGCGTTCACAACTATTATTATGCTGCCAATATATTTACGTCACACACCGTAAACATTACCCATAGAAATTACATTATATTATGCGTAACTGATTCGTTAAGAAATGGGTAAAACCACTTATAAAAAACAAAGGACCTATTTCATCACCCAAAAACGTTTATTGGAACATTAATGGGTTTGTTTTTTTTAATGTACAGTACATAAAATCTTACTATTTATCTTCTGGCTTGGAGAAAACTAACGTGTAACCACATTTACCGCAGTAATGCCTGTCTTCCATGGCTGCCATAAAGACCCCGGCGCCACACTGTTCGGCAGGGCATTCACGGCGCAGCCTATGGATTTTACCATTCTCGTCAACCTAAATGCAATATTGAAAAAGGCAAATTATGATTAATAATTATTCAATGTAACATTAAATTGATTCAAGCAGTTAAAAAATGCGTACCTTATAAAATTTTAAAACTGCCAATTTGACCTTCTTCTTCTTGTGCTTGATCTTCTTGGGAGTGGAATAATTCTTCTTCTTACGCTTCTTGGCACCTCCCCTCAATCTTAAGACCAAATGCAATGTCGATTCCTTTTGGATGTTGTAATCAGACAAAGTACGGCCATCTTCCAATTGTTTTCCAGCAAAAATTAGACGTTGTTGGTCAGGTGGAATTCCTTCTTTATCTTGGATTTTTGCCTTCACATTTTCGATTGTATCGGACGGTTCGACCTCTAAAGTGATGGTCTTACCCGTTAAAGTCTTCACGAATATTTGCATCCTGTGAGGCTAAATATAAAAAAACATACAATTTATCTTGCTTTCTAAAATTAAGCTGAAACAGTTATTTTGATGCCGATATATTGATTTTAAATGACAATACATATAAAAGATAAGTTCAAAAATAAGTAAAATATAAAAAAATTCAGAGTATACAAATATTTATAAAAGAGAAATGAAACAAAAGTAAGAGGCATTAAATGGCTAATTTCTATCAAATTTCCTTTCTGAAAGGAACCTTTAAAATTTTATTAGAATGCTGACATTTAACTGCGAATAATCAAAAAATTGGCCAGGTACATGCAAAATAATACAGTTTAGGATCTTAAAAAAAGTCGTTTTTGTGCAACTTTATTTTATTACATTACAAAAACAAGTTTACACAAGCAATACAGCATTAATGCAACCATCATTTTCAGGATTATTTGTGACCTGTGCATATTTTCCCCAAATAATTTTTCCTGCTTGAGTAACTAAACCTAATTCAGAAATATTCACTTCAATTACTGTTCCTTTTGTAATAACACCTAAACTTGTATACATTTGTGAACTGGGGTTCTTCTTAACACCAATTATGGGTAAGCAGAACGTCGCTTTTAATTCTGGATGAGTCACATGAGCCTTTTTAAATCTTAAAGCCATGGGCCTTATAAATCTTTCAAATTTTGGTGGTTTCCGTGTAAAATTTTCTCCAACGTATGTCACTTTAGTTACCATTCTTTTCCATGCCTTACGCTTTGTTCTACCAGTTCTAATCACCCTAAAAACTTCAGAATCAGCTTGAGCTCGAACTTTTGGTATTGGCACATCCCATTTTCCTGCTTTTTCTTTACGTTTCTGCTTAATCATATTTGAGAGAACCTTAGCTCTTGACTGGATATTACGATCTAATAGATAGACAGGCAAGGCTCCTTCAGAAACTTTCCCTTCATCTTTCTTTGTCCTTTTCTCTTCATGAGCTTTAATTTTCTTTTTCATTTGTATCTTTTCATTTCTTCGCTGTTTGTTGAATAGTTTTGCTTTGATACCTCGTAAGCTTTGGGCTATTTTGGACCTTTTATGTGGCTCACGAGCTTCTCTTTTCCGCTTTCGTTCTTCATAATCCAAACGTCGTCCGTGCAGCTTACGGTGACGTTCAATATATTCGTTCTGCGGCATTTTTCAACTTAAAAAAAAGCAAGTGTAAGCAATAATCATATTCAAAGTTTTAGGTTATCTCTGTGAATATGACTATTGCCACATTCGCATTAGACGAATACTATCGAAATGCGTATCACTTACCTTCAGAATATGTTCTTCGACTAATTAATAGTCATATTCAAAGAGATATGGAACACTTAACACGAAATATGTTTTTTTAGTTTAACCCACGTGTATTCGACATGCTAAACTCGTTTGTACAAGTACAAAATTTTAATTACCAAATCAACCTAGTTTTTCGTAAATTTCAGACACTTAAACTAACATCACAAATTAAATTACAAATGGATTAGTAACGTATGCTTACCTTTTTTTTATTTACAGCACCATCACAGTCTCACACACCAAACGAAAAGACGTATTACAAACGGAAACATAGATCAGTTGTGAATACGTCATATGCGCAGGTTTGACAATTAGTCAAATCAGCAACTGTTTTAAAATTATTTTATTGAATTAATTTATTTTAAACAGAATTAACAACAATAATATCCAACTGTTTGTTTAAACAAATTCTGTGTATTTATTATTCAAACTAATTGGTAAAAGTTTTCTTATCATTTTAAACGAACCGTTACTTAAATTACACTAATTATCAAATTATCAATTCACAAACAACGTAACAATAAAAAGAATATCATTTGTTACTCTGGCGTTATAAAATCAGATTGTTTAATAAACTAAAGGTATTTCTTAAATATTTAATAAATTAGTTCCTTAAAAAAATGAGCAACATAAGCAAAATGCCCGATTTAGAAAAAGAGTTATTGGAACAATACTACAAGAACGTAAGTTATACACTATAAAAAGTAGCACGGCTTTTTAAACAGTATAGTATATTTTAAGTTAAAATACAAAGAATCTCTTATTGAAGAGAGGAAAAAAATTGACGAAGAATATGAAAATACGTACATAAAATACTTGGAAGGAGTTAATAAAGTTAACGAGCTCAAATATACCATCGCCCCAATTGAAGAGGAAATAAAGAAAAACGATAATTTAAAACTGGAAAATGATAAACAAATAAAAATATTTTTAACTAACGATGAACAATTAAAAATAATGAAGGAAAAATTAAAAGAAGAAAACAGGAATGAATGGTGCCTTCCCTATAAATACTAAAAATATGTTCGTTTATATTAATTGTACTATTATTTTTTTAGTAAAAAATTCGCCGAAAACGTAAATGTAACATACGAAAAAATTAAAGAACTTCCGGAAACCTTTGTAAGCACACTTTTTTAATTTATAATGATATACTAGATATTTTACGACTTATAATATCTTAGACGAACGCCAGTGTAGAAGGTGCTACAAGAGAGGCAAAAAAACATCTAAGGGAGTTAACAGAACTAAAAGAGTCTCTTACTATAAAAGTTAATAAGATAAAACAAGAGCCTAATTCATTAGAAGATTATGTAGTACCCTCTAACGTCAATGAATCGCTGAAACAGATAAATATAATAAACATTAAACATTTTGGAGATATTACAAAAAATACATCCACAATGGCAGATATACAAAAAAATATCAACACTTTGAAAAAAAAGATTTCGGAAGTCGAATCGAAACCGAATGTTGATTCAAATTAGTGTCATACCTTATGTAATAACAAAATAGTAGTATCTATTTGCAATAATATGTTTTCTACTATATTTATCATTTGTATTAATCTTTATGTACTTTAAATTAACGATTTCCTTTTTGTTTGTTAAGATAATTTCCTCTACTTTTGTGTAACCAATAAACGTTAACTAATTTAGTTTCTTTTTATTTCATTTAAGTAAATGAAAACATTCTCTGATAAAAGAAAAATTTCGTATTATTTTCCCATCCTTCACCAATGATTTACCAATTTAAAATTAAATTTAAATAATAAAATCGCAGACATATTTGTGAAGTTTGTGTTTGTTTAGTTAACAAAAAAATTTTTAAATGTACATACTTTGTTAGATTTATTAAAATTTCTAAACTTCGCAGTTTGGCAACACTGAAATTAATAAATATATACATAAATAACCTCAGAAAATGGTCGTACGTATCTATGGTCGTACATCAAGCAAAACAAAAACACAAAACATAACCCTGCATCTTGATACGTTAAACGATTATAAAGAAATGTCTAATAATTTAATTAAACGCAGTAAGAAGACCTTAAAAAAAAAGAAATTGCTGACAAACCTACAGAGTTCCTCTGAATCCGATGAAGAAAGTAGTGCACATGAATTATCACACTATAAAAACGATAAAATCAGAATGATGAAGGAGGTTTTAAAAATACTCAATCCAAAAAAAATTAAATCGATGGCTCCCGATTGTATAAAAGTGCGTATTAGTATACAAATGTACTAGTAGCATGTTCATAAAGCTTTATGGATGAATTACAGCATTTGGATATTGAAGAAATAAATGCCATGCTTTTAGAAGAACTTCTGGGAATATCCAATAAAAGATTAGGCTATATTTTCAATGGAGAGAACCCTGATCGAGAGAGTAGTTCTTCAGAGTCAGAAGATGAAAAGATAGCTGAAGTAATATCACTGGATGATATTTCTGATGATGATATTGAAATATGTATCGGACCTGATGATAAAGATGCAATTGTAGATGGTAAATGTTTTAATTGATTTACTTTTAATTGATTATGTAGAAGTTAAAGAAGTATATATGACATTCTTTTAGAGTTGGACAAGAGATATAAAAAGCAGAAGGCAAAATCTAAAACAAAGTCGATAAAATCTGAAAAATCAGAGAAATCAAGAAAAAGGAGCCACCACTCACAAAGTAATCAAAAAGGAACTGAAGACGGTAATTTAATGAGTGTCCTAGAACTTCTAGAACTTCAAGCCAGAGCAAGAGCTATTAGATCACAATTAGCATTAGAAGCAGCTCAAAAGAAAGAAAAAGAGACAGAAAATTTAAATGTGAAGCTGGAGGAAATATCTGATGATGACGACGCTGTAATTGTTCAAAGTCCAGAAAAAGATGAGATAGTTATAGACTCTAGTGACTCTGAAGAAGAAAGGGAATCTCATGAATTACAAGAAGCTGAGAAAACTTCGACCATTAGTTCAAAACGCTCACCTCATGAAAATGATGAATCTGAAAAACTAAAAGAAAATACAGCACAGAAAAAAATTAAACAGAAAGTTAAAATAATCAGAGACTGGAGCATACAAAATAATAATGTTACAGATAATTTTCGGACAGAAGAAAATACCCATACATGTGTAGATAAAATACATTTTCAAGTAAATATTCAAAAAGAAGGTATGAAAAATACTCAAATTATAATAGGCAAACAAAACACTCCAGAGCATATTGAATCAAAAGATAAATAGGTACATAACCATTCCAATTGACTGATTATTCGTAATTATAATTTGTTTTGTCTTTGCTCATGCACAACCTTGTTTAAAAATTAATTTTTACATAATAGACTTCTTTCGCTCAACCATAAACTATTTATTTTTAAGGTAAAATGAGCAATCAATGTTCATATTTTTATGCAAAAGTTAAATCTAACAACGGCTTTTCTGTAAAATTTGAGTAAAAAACGTTTTCATTCTCACGATGTCCGATTTTCCCCCCTTGATGTGTAAATATTTTTTAAATGTATTAAATAGGTATCCTCGCGATTACTTACATTATGTTTTAAGGTTTTATTGAAAAAAATGTTTGGGTGGGCATGGAAGATTACTTTTCAACTTTGGCAAAAGCATTGCATTTAGAAGGGGATGAAGTTTTGGGACCCGCAGTGAAACGAAAATCGAGAAGAAGACGTCACGGACACTCCATCATCCCTCCTCCAGAGGCAGAATATGTGCCTATTAAAAGAAGTAAGTGCCCCAAACATTTAAAAATGCACTATATATTCCATCGAAATTAATTAATTTTGCGCTCAAAAGAAAAAAAAATGAACTTGTTTTAGATGATCTTGTGGCGTCAAGGGATAAGCGAGGCAGAAGGACAATACCCACAGATTTTACTACAATTCTCATTTTTGCTGTACTTATACTCTTAGTAATTTTAAATGTTATGTTGTATTATAAGCTGTGGTCACTGGAGGAGGCGCCTCCTTATACACTTTTAGATCTTCACATTTTGAAGTAGGTCATATTTACTTTTACATATTTAAAATTGCTAAAACAGTATACACAATTTCAAAACTATTAATTGTTTTAATAGGGAACCCCCCAATTCCCATGAAGAGTGGATTAAACTGTTACAAAAACAAGAAACTCTTCATACAATCGAAAT